CAGAGTTAGAGTCTGGCACGGTGGCAAGGCCAGCTAGCTCGTCAGAAAAGGGTTGGATTCTTTACTCCGCTATAGCACATCCGAACCGTAACAAAAAAAATAAAGAAAAATCGTGCCAGAGAATTTGGTTCAAAAAAAAAAAATTTACAATCAATGATAGTAATTTTATATAATATTAATACCCTGTGTCTACCAGTTTTTTTTTTCTTTTTTTTTTCTTCTTCGTATTGTCCCTGTCCTTGTTGGTCGGTTTGGACCTACCCACCCTCACTACATTACCGTAGTTACCGTTGAGCTGAAGTAACAGGCCCTGTTAAATTCTCTCCAGCTCCCTATTTTCATGTTCGTCCCTGTCCTGTCTAACTCATTTTTATTTTACTGCAACCTAACATTGCCCCCTTCTTCACTTTCACCTGTCACCTATATCTATTGAACTTAAGCCATCATTTTGTTTGAATTTACTTCATTTACACATTTAGTTTGTTACACAAAAAAAAAAGAAAATCTTATGAATGGAATTATTTTTTAATTTTGTTTCTTTTTTTCTTTTTATGGTTTATTATTTTATTATATAATAATACAAAAAAAATTCGACTAAACTAAACTAAGCAAAATTCTCTTCAAATAAAAAAAATACAAAAGAATATATATATATACATAATGTATTCATAATAAAAAACTTACAATCTACTCTTACTATTTAATGCACAACTATATGTATATCCATAATATATTTATAATAAGAAAATAGATAAATATAACGAGAATAAAAAAAAAATAGCTTTCTATACATCAACTTGTTGTTTTGTTTTTTTTTTCCTTTTTTTTTTTTTTCTTTTACATTTAGACTACCAATATTTTAATTACTTTGATTACTCTTACCAACATCGTAGCAGTGACGTCACTCCGCGTTGCTGACCTAAATAGCTACAAAAAAATTAAAAAAACAAATTGTGGATAATCAAAGAAAAAAACAACAAAACAAAGACACCTGATGTGCTTGATCACTTATAATATATGTACATCATTTAAAGTAAAAAAATGTATATATTCTAATCTTGCGTGACTAATATCATATCCAAAATAAATTAACAATGAATATTATTTCTACTAATAATTTCATAAATAGAACTAATTAATTCAAGAAAATTAATAAAAAAAAACTTAATGTATATATAAAAAAATTCAAATTATTAAAATAAGTTGGAGAAAAAAAAAATTTTTAATTTAGAAACAAAAAAAATATGAGATTGAATATTTAAAAAAAATTGTAAGACATTATAGACGGCAATAAGTCATAGATAATTGAACAACTGAGTAAGCATAATAAAATTGCTTAAATGAATTTAATGAATTTAATTAATTTAATCATAAGCATTAACGTAAAAAAATCATATCCTGTAGCACTTCCGCGCGGTCTTAGTATTCTCCGTTGCTATTCTACAACTGTAAGGGTAGCTTACCGTACCAGTTGCTGTTAGATGTACTTGCAGTGAGTCCTAGGGCTAATTCCATATGTTTATCACTCCTTATTGAACTTGACTTATTACACATATAATACGGCTTGTTAGGTTGTTAAATCAAAGTTTCACCGACATGTTATATTTATATATGGCTAATTCCATATGCTTATCAATCCTTATTGGACTTGATTTATTACACTTATAATACGGCTTATTAGGTTGTTAAATCAAAGTTTCACCGATATGTTATATTTATATATGGCTAATTCCATATGCTTATCAATCCTTATTGGACTTGATTTATTACACATATAATACGGCTTGTTAGGTTGTTAAATCCAAGTTTCACCGATATGTTATATTTATTTGAATTTTTTTCGATCATCAATTTATTCAAAGTTTTGATCATTTAAACCTCCGATTTGTAAAAATATTTTTTTTTTTCACTTTCATTTTTTATTCACTTTAATTATTTTTGTATTAATAATAATTAATTTTTAAATGTTCACTTTAATTATTTTTGTATTAATAATAGTTAATTTTAAATGTTCACTTTAATTATTTTTGTATTAATAATAATTAATTTTTAAATGTTCACTTTAATTATTTTTGTATTAATAATAATTAATTTTTAAATGTTCACTTTAATTATTTTTGTATTATAATAGTTAATTTTTAAATGTTCACTTTAATTATTTTTGTATTAATAATAATTAATTTTTAAATGTTCACTTTAATTATTTTTGTATTAATAATAATTAATTTTTAAATATTCACTTTTTACTAATATATTTCAATATATCGTCTAAAATTTTTCAAGTCGCTCGCGGACATCAACCGTCTTCTTCCAAAGACTTCCTCCAAAAAAAAAACTGCAACCAATATCTCTATCTTATGTATATCATTCTCCTCCCGTAATTTAATCCGTTGGACACTCATCCCGTACACTTTTCGGGGTCGTTCCTTGAACCTCCAGTTAATGTTATTTTTCTTTCCACCTTCCGAACACTTTTTTTTTCTTTTTATCTTATTTCAATACTTGCATTACACATTGCTCTGGCAGCATTGATCATTTCAACTTCCAATTTGGCCAAACTTTTCGCCGCGACTCTTGATCAAAACAAAAGAAAACAAAAAAAATGTACAAAAGCTTTTTTTTTTTTCTTTCTTGCAAATTTTGACATTTCGCTGTGCGTGCAATGCACAGGCTAATTTTAATTTATAAAAAAAAATAAAAATAAAAATAAATAAAAAAAATGAGTAGACGGTGTGTCAATAAAATATTACTGCCGCGAATTTGGACAAGGAAGTGCATGCTCACTTTACCAAAGGAACCACCGTGAGACAAGCAGGTGCTGCACTGAGACTGCCTGGACAACGTGGGACATGCGAGGTAATATCATGTTTTTAATTTTCTTACTCATGTTAGCCTATCACCTCCTACTCACACAGGCATACACAACATCCCTCAAAACTAAAGTAGAATGAAGATCATCCAATTTACAAATAACGGTACTTGTTGAACTATTGAGTTTTTGTGGAACCCCTTACCAACAGAATGGACCTGTACAATGCGTCAACTGCCAGGATTTTGGTCATACAAAAACCTATTGTACGTTATTCAGCATACTTCAGAATGCGACAAAAAAGTTCATGATGACAAAAAGGTGGTAAATTGTAATAACTACAATGCAGTGATGTCTGCTCTAAGGTGCGGAGGTGTGCGGCGCACATCCTAACATAATTTGCAAAATGTTAAATAATAAACCATATATAAATTTATTAAATAGCTTTATATCGAGAATTAATATTATTTATTACATTTCCATATATATGTATATATTTTTAAACATTAAAGTTTTACTCGTAGCAAAAACAATTAAATATAATTGTCTTTGAAAACTCAATCAATTTTCTTCTCTTAGCTTCTATAGATGTTAGATGTGCCCATAACTTTGCAGCACAATTAAAGAACATTTCTATTGTAATTCATCTTTCTCCTTTGGGCAGTTGCATTCACAAATTTCTGTCGTTAATTGTGCTCAACAGAAAAATGAATAAAAAAATGTGCGTGTGGAATTGTATGAGAGTAATTTTCTGTTCTATTCAAATATCAACTGCATGCATACGAATCCAATATACTGATTTGCCGAAGCACTTGGTTGTGCGGTCTAATCTGCAGCACACTGTGGTGTCCACCCAAACGTATTTATGATACGTAAGTGAAACCAAAGAAATGTTTTTGTCTTGGTATAATAAACATAATATACCAGAATTTATATTCTGAATGAAGGAAATTTGGATCGTAATTAAATTTTAACAAGGAGTTGAGAAATACAACTCTGTAATTGTAATCCAATGTCAACCTATGTTTCACATGAGGTTGATAAGAATAAAAATGCAAGAGGAGACGAAAAGAATTTGATTGAGCAGAAAAAGTAAAAAGATTTTAGAAAGGTTGTTGGCAAAGTATATATAAGTGAAGATTTAAAAAATTAAGCAAATTGTAACTTTATATTATAAATAAAAAAAGTAAAAATAATTGTCTATAGTAACGACAAATTGGTGACCCCGACGTGATTCCGGGAATTAAAACCATATTTGGTGACGCCGGAATTAAAACAACAATTTGTAAAAAAGCTAAGTAGCAGCCACAGAGTCTCGCAACGCAAATTCTTTAACAAGCGGAAATATCATGAACGAAGGCGAAGCAGTCAGCGCAACAACCAGCACTACAGTACAACATGGTACAACACCGGCAGAAATTTGCCGTATAGGTGTCAAGCCGCCGGTATTTTGCAAACGCGACCCTGACTTATACTTCCTGCAGATGGAGGCGCAATTTCGCGAAATTGACGAAATACGACTACGTGATTGGGTCGTTAGATGGGTCTACACTAAGAAACGTTGCGGATATTGTAAGATCACCTCCATCTCAAAACAAATACGACGCAATAAGGAATCGCCTGATACAAGACTTTGCTGACTCTGAAAACAAAAAATTACGCAGACTCATACTCGAGTGCGAACTGCATGACAACAAGCCATCACAATTACTTTGCACTATGCGCGACCTAGCAGCTGGAGCCATGAATGACGGCGCACTGAAACAATTCTGGCTAGATCGTTTGCCCGTTGCAGTGCGAGCTGTTGTGTCCATCGCTGACGGTGATCTTGACAAATGCGCACTTCAAGCTGATAAAATGATGGAGATGGGGAGTTATGGTTCTGTAGCCACTGTAGATGGTGCAAAAAATTCTCAATCAGCACAGTCATCATCAATTGAAGAAATGCAAACCATAAATAACGCCGTTTTACAACTGAGCAAAGATGTAGCTGAAATAAAGCAGCGACAATACTCAAATAGAAGACCTCGATTCCGAACTCCAGATCGTGATCCAGTCCAGCACATCCGCACATGTTCTGCAAATCAGGTTAGTAAGCAACCTCTTTGTTTCTACCATTACAGGTTTGGTGCCAATGCAATCAAATGTACCAAACCTTGCAAATACAAGGCACCGGAAAACTAAAAACAGCTTTGTCAGAGACGGTAGATGAAGCTAGTTTAATAAGAAGTTCGTTTAATAAGAAGCTCATTCAGTGAGAAGCTCATTCAGTGATAACTTATATACATATTTACAATAAGCTTACAATAGGTAAAATTCAACAACTTTCCTATTATCAGTTGCTAGCGGAGAACCTAAAACATTTTAATTATTGCGACTGCACTTCACGACTGCTGCTGCTGCTCGTTTTCCACTATTTCTAACTGCTTCTACACCACGTTTTGTAACTGCTTCCGCTCCACGTTTTGTGAGAAGTTCGTTTAGTATGAAGCTAGTGGTTATAAGTCAAGCCGTCTGTTTATTGTTGACAAAAAGACTCAACACAAATTTTTGGTAAATACGGGCGCACATTTCTCGGTTTTTTCGATAACCGCAATCGCTAATCCTAAACCCAAACCCACAACAAGTACACTGTTTGCAGCGAACGGATCACACATTAAAACATATGGTTCCAAACTTCTGACACTCAATCTGGGGCTGAGGAAAAGTTTCGCCTGGTATTTCACCATCGCTGACGTGTCAAAGCCAATACTAGGAGCCGACTTCCTCAAAAATCTCAACTTATTGGTCGACGTCGCTAACAAGCGAATTATTGACAATCAAACGAAGTTGCAGACGTTGTGCATAGCCGAAATTGTAGCTTACTCTCCAGTTTCTTCAGTCAACAGCGACAACAGGTATCAGAAACTCCTGGCCAAATTCAAGGACCTGACTTCACCACTGACATTTAATTCGTTGGACACAACAAAAACAACGGTTCAACATCACATTTACACTAGCGGACGTCCTGTTTTTTCACGCGCTCGGCGGCTGAACCCAAGTATGTTACAGATAGCTCGTCAAGAATTCGAGTACATGTTAAGTCATGGAATTTGCACCCACTCGAAGAGTGATTGGGCTAGCCCGTTGAATATGGTTTCTAAAAAGAACGGCACGTGGCGACCATGTGGAGATTATCGACGACTCAACTCACAAACGTTACCAGACCGATATCCTATCCCACACATCCAAGACTTCGCACAAACATTCAACGGCAAGTCAATCTACACTACGATAGACATCGAAAAAGCGTATTTCAACATACCGAATAGCTGCAGAAGACAAAAAAAAACAGCGATCATCACACCATTTGGTCTTTTTGAATTCAACGTGATGACATTTGGATTATGCAATGCCGCGCAGACATTCCAACGCTATATGGACCAAGTTCTTTCAGGTCTAGACTTCGTCGTCTGCTACATTGACGATATTTGTATCGCGTCCAGCAGTGAAGAAGAACACTACCAACATGTCACAACGGTATTCCAACGCCTCCAGCAGCATGGGTTAAAAATTAATGTAAGTAAATGTGTTTTCGCTAATAACGAAGTGACCTTCCTAGGACATCGTGTAAACAAAGATGGTGTTAGTCCTCGAGTAGAGAAAATCAACCACATTACAAAATTCAAAAAGCCAGTACAAACACACGAACTACGTAGATTCCTGGCCATGCTGAATTTTTATCGACGATTTCTTCCCAACGCAGCGGTGATGCAAGGTCAATTGCAAGCGGTTATCAAAGGCAACAAAAAGAAGGACAAAAGTCTTATTGTCTGGACACAAGAAGCTGAGACTGCATTTGAACAATGTAAGCAAGCAATAGCCGACGCAGTAACCCTGGCACATCCACTACCAGAAGCACATTTAGTTCTAAACGTAGACGCCAGTAACTTCGCCGTTGGTGCAGCAATTCATCACGTTTGCAACGAACAAATGAAACCATTAGGATTCTACTCCAAGCGGATGACAGACGCACAGAAGCGCTATAGTACTTATGATCGTGAACTGCTTGCAATATATCAGTCGGTAAAGCATTTCAAACATATTATAGAAGGAAGACAATGTACTATTTTAACTGATCATAAACCGATCATATTCGCTTTTATGCAAAAACCTGAAAAAGCATCTCCACGTCAACTTCGACACCTCGACTTCATTGGTCAATTCACAACGGACATACGTCACATCTCAGGAAGGGATAACATAGTGGCAGATCTTCTATCTCGTATCGAAGTGATCAGCAAAGACGGAGATATAAATTTTGAATCATTGGCTTAAAGTCAAAAAACAGATAATGAGACCAACGATTTCTTAACCAGCAACAATACCGCGCTCAAACTCAAGCTTATAACTATTCCAGGCGCAACAATATCCATCGCCTGTGACATGTCAACAGTGAATGCACGTCCATTCATTCCTAAACCATTTCGACAACACATTTTCAATGTCGTGCATTGCCTTTCACATCCAGGTAAAAAAGCCACTGTTAAACTCATTAGTAAGCGGTACGTGTGGCCGAATATGAATCAGGACATCACTCGAAAGGTACGAACATGCATCCCGTGCCAACGTGCAAAGGTCATTAGGCACAACAAAACAGCAATTGGCAGTTTCACAACGCCAGAACAACGGTTCGCAGCAATACATATCGACCTAATTGGACCACTACCTGCCAAAAATGGATATACATATTGCTTAACCTGTATCGACCGATTTAGTAGATGGCCGGCAGCAATCCCAATTGAAGACATTCATGCTTCAACAGTCGCTACTGCAATAATTAATGGTTGGATAACACATTTCGGAGTACCAACGCAAATCACCAATGACCAAGGTCGTCAGTTTGAATCCCAACTTTTTAACGAGCTGGCACGCACACTAGGCGTAAGACACTTGCGATCAAGTCCTCGCCACCCACAAAGCAATGGCATGATCGAACGCTTCCACCGTACGTTAAAAACAGCCTTAAAGTGTAAAAATGACCAACACTGGACCGAAGTACTTCCACTTGTCATCCTTGCCCTAAGAAATATTCACAAGGAAGATCTGGACGCCACACCCGCAGAAATCGTATATGGTAGCGCACTAAAGCTGCCATGTGATTTTTTTGAGGAAGTCAAAGACGACCAAGTATGTTCAGAATTCGTGAAACGCTTCAGACAAGCCATGAACAACATTCGCCCCGACCCAGTATCACAACATTCAAAGGACAAGGTTTTTGTACAACACCAGTTACAAAAATGTACTCACGTTTTCCTGCGTGATGATGCAGTACGACCACCTTTGAAAGCACCATATGAGGGGCCATACAAAGTTGTAAGTCGGTCTGATAAGACATTCGAACTACTGGTAAAAGGAAAACAAGTACGCGTAAGTATCGACCGCCTAAAAGCAGCATTCTTACCAAACAGCGAACTGAAGGCGAATGTAAACGACACACAACTCTCCGATACAAGCACACCAAGTGAAAATACTGGCAAGGCAACACGAAGTGGAAGAACCACACGTCTGCCCCAAAAATACGTTACCTTCAATCTATCGTGATATCGTCCATAACTCAATCACTGGCAGGGGAGTAATGTGGTGTCCACCCAAACGTATTTATGATACGTAAGTGAAACCAAAGAAGTGTTTTTGTCTTGGTATAATAAACATAATATACCAGAATTTATATTCTGAATAAAGGAAATTTGGATCGTAATTAAATTTTAACAAGGAGTTGAGAAATACAACTCTGTAATTGTAATCCAATGTCAACCTATGTTCCACATGAGGTTGATAAGAATGAAAATGCAAGAGGAGACGAAAAGAATTTGATTGAGCAGAAAAAGTAAAAAGATTTTAGAAAGGTTGTTGGCAAAGTATATATAAGTGAAGATTTAAAAAATTAAGCAAATTGTAACTTTATATTATAAATAAAAAAAGTAAAAATAATTGTCTATAGTAACGACAACACATTTCAGTATATTTCTTTAAATTTCGTCTCTCCCCTTTTAACTGTAGCACCAGCGAAAACAGCCCCCTGATGTGCGGAAAAATTGGCCGCACATTCATACATTGCAAGTGTGTTCGATTTTGTTCGATCACTGCATAAACAAGTACGGTTCTCAATACAAACTTTTGTTTGAAAATATTAGGTTTGATGTTTTAAGAATAAGAAGTATGTAAAAAGTTGTGTTTATTCCATATTGATACAATATTAAACTTATATATACATATGTATATAAATTATTAATTTAATTTGTATGTTAAATATTATTTTGTTAATAAATTGTTAATATTATATTGTAAATATTGTTGAAGTTAAAGCCTCATACAATGTTAATAACACTACACATATATAAATATTTTTGTCAAGCTTTAATAAGCTTTTATTTACTCTTATATAATTAATTTAATAAATAACGACAGTTGTTATAATACACTCGAAAAGAATACAACGCGTTTTTATTTAAAAGGTGTGTTCTACATTTAAAAATCCAACAGGTTATGGACCCAGGCATAACTCAACCAATATGAATTCAATATATAATATTGACAAACTTGATGAAAACAATTACGACTCATGGCGTATCCAGATGAGGAGTGTCTTCAAGGGCTCTAGTGTGTCGTAAGTGAAAAAATGTCTGAAGTGATCAGGGATGGAAAAGATCGGGACATATATGAAAAATGGAAACAGAACGATGAAAAGACGTTGGCAGTAATAAAGTTATCAATAAAAACTGCAGTAATTGGACATGTAAAGAAATGTAATACCGCAAAATACGCTTGGACTGGCTTAAGAGAAATTCAACAGCCCACTGGACTGGCAAGGAAGGTATCTTTATTTAAGAAAATGCTATATGAGTGAGGGTGATTCCATGCAGCAGTATATTCCAAGTTTTGGTTGCTTGTTATAATGATTTTAGTAATTTTGCTAAAAAGTTACGAAAATTTTGTTGTTGCCTTAGAAACACGAGATCAGCTTCCAAAGCTTAGTGATTTAAACACAGAACTATTTGAAGAAAACGAACGGCGAAAACACAATAAAATAGTTGAATCAGACGGTACTGTACAAGCATTAGTTGTTCCATCAGGCCATAAATATTAAAGGAAATATTACAACAATGATCACACCATAAGAAATAGCGGAGGTAAAGAAGATA